TCGGATCCCACATACAGACCGGTTCCCGCTCACTGGCTGAGTGAGGTGTGGGAGCAACACCGAGGGTTGCGATCCCGTTGCCGGACACGAAAAAAGACAAAAAAAAAAAGGGCAAATGACCTAAATAGACATTTCTCAAAAGAAGACATACAAATGGCCAGCAGGTATAGAAAAATGCTGAACATCACTAATCATCAAGGAAATGCAAATCAAAACCACAGTGATATACCATCTCAACCCAGTTAGAACGGCTATTATCAAAAAGACAAAAAATAACAAATGCTAGCTCAGATGTGGAGAAAAGGGAATTCTTATACATTGTTGGTGGGAATGTAAATTAATACTACCATAATGGAAAAGAGTACAGAAGTTCCTCAAAAAACTAACAATAGAACTACTATATGATCCAGCAATCCCACAGCTGGGTATTTACCCAGAAGAGAGAATTAGCATACCAAAGAGATATCTGCACCCCCATGTTTATTGAAGCACTATTCACACTAGCTAAGACATAGAATCAGCGTAGGTGTTCGTCAACACCTGGATAAAGAAAACGTGGCATATATACACAATGGAATACTACTAAGCCATAAAAAAGAATGAAATACTGTCATTTGCAGCAACATGGATAAGCCTGGAAGATGTCATGTTAAGTAAAATAAGTCAAACAGAGGAAGATAAATACTTGTTCTCAATCATATGTGGGAGCTAAAAAAGTAATGTTGATCTTTTAGAAATAAAGAGTACAATTGTGGTTACTAGAAGCTAGGAAGGAGAGGAGAGAGAGGGAGAGGTTTATCAATGGATACAAAATTACAGCTAAATAGGAAAAATAAGTTCTACTGGTGTATAGAAGTCCTAGGCATCTATAGTAATAATTTATTATATGTTCCGTAGCTAAACATAAGAAGGTCAAATGTTCTCATCACAAAGAAATGGTAAATTTTTGCAATGATGAATTTGCTAACTGCTCTGATTTGATCATTACACATTGTACACATATACTAACATATAACTCTATTCCATAAATATGTATAATCAATTTTTAAAAACTGGAAGAAAAAAAAAAAAAGGCCATGGTGTGCTGGAGCCAGCTTGCTCATGAGAGCTGATGGTTAGTTTTTCAGGAATTTTGTAAGTTTGTTGTTAAACATAGCTATTAAAAATTAAACCATTTAAGTTTATAATTAAATAAACTATATTAAAATAAAGGGAATATATATGCAAAATTCATCACTTCTTAATTAGTTTTCTAGACTTTTACTATTTTCCATTCTCTCAGGATTATTTTCATCTAAATGTATTGGTATAATAGGAATGCTACATAATTGTGTGCTACTTTGCATGTTTACCAACTTTGTGTTCAGTGATGTTGAACGTGGCGAGTATATTTACACCGTGAAAATCAGCAAATACTACAAATGAGGGCATTTCCCCCATACAGCCAGCTGCTAAACACTTGCTAGCATACTACTCCAAAAGGGTGGCAGTGTCGTTCAAATGTGGTTAATGAAGTTTGGGGTAGGGGGAATATTCACAGTATTCCCCAGAATCTGCTCTTATACAATTCCTTTCTAACACAGTACCCTAAATTACCAAGCCCTGTAGTCTGCATGGTACCTTGCCTTCAGCTGCAGGACCGAGCCCTTATTGTCTTAAGCCGGATGGCTATTCCCAAATATCTGACTCCAGTAAGCTTGGTTTGAGGGTGCATTCATGACCCAAATCAGGCCAATTCTTGCCACTAAGGTTGATGTGAGAGACCTGAATTTGAGCTACAGGAAATTCAACCTGTCATTCTGGCTGGGTATAATAAACAAGGGAGCATATAGCACCAGAAGACACTGGTAATCATCTTGTAACTACAAATGAAAGAGAATGCTCAAGAATGCGTATAAGCTAAGAAAGTATAACCAAAAACTGGTGAGAAGAAAAACTAGATTCTGGATCAGGCCTTGTCTGAAAATCTAATCTTAGAGTTTCTGTGAGTCAATGAATTTTCCTTAGCCTTTAGTTAGACTTAAGTGGACTTTTACTCACTTGCATGAAAATGATTCCTTTCTGATACATTACATGAATGAAGTCTATATCTTTAGAAGAGGTAATTGCAGGAAGAAAATAAATACTCTCAGCCCTTCTTCCTTCTTATTATAACTTTGTGTGTCTATATGCCTGACTCTCCAACCAGAGAGCAAGCTCTTTGAAGTCTGAAGTTTTTTGTTGTACATCTTTGTCTGTAGCAACTTAACACAGCACCCTGAAAGTAGGGAGCAAGTTGTAAGTGCTTAATATAGATTTGCTTAATTGAATTGGTTAAGTCAGGAGGAATTGTGCAAGAGGTAGAGTGAATCAGAGTAAATTCCTCTTCTCTTCTTTGGCCAAGTAGCCAATTTGAATCCATCTGTTGTCATTTGTGAGTGTCCCGGGGAAAAAGGAATGAAGCAATGTAGCTCAATAGTTCAACAGTCCAGTCTAGCAACTGGAGGAGGTTGTAGTTTTCTGCTGGGATAGAGTGAAATAAGCCTTGGTCTTAGTTGGCATAAACTCCTTTCCTCTATGTTTTTATGATGCTAACTATCTGGATAAGAACCAAAATGTGCAGTCAACATGCCTCAAAAAATCTAAGCATATGATACCACATTGACAAAATATCCAGTTACTAAACCAGAATTGTCATTGTCTCTCCAGGAGTCTGGGGTTGCTTATGTCCTTGAAAGTGATGACAAGTATGACAGTACCAGAACTATGTGTCACTGTGGCTCTGAATAAAACCAATCCCTTATGACCTGGGGAGGGAGATAGGTATAAAACACTGGCAAATCAAAATGAATGTTTCGGTTACATTTCAAGGCAGAAAGAAAAAATATCCATAGACATAAGAGTGCTGCCTGTTTCTGCTTTCCCACCCCTTTCTTGTTTTCTTTTCTCCACAACCCTATCGCTGTGCAACATGCAATATATCTTTATTTATTTATATTAATTTAACTCTCTCTTCATTTCCCAAAATGTAAGCTCCAGGACTTGTATGTCCTTTTGTTCAGTGATGTATTCCCAGTACCTAAAACAGACTCTGGCACATAGTAAATGCACAAGAAATATTCATTGAACAAATGAATGGCCTGTGTAGGGTGGCTATTTGGCAATCAATTCATTAATGAGAAACTAAAATGTCCTGGTGAAAAACATTTTTTTCCCCCACATTAAATTAAAAGACCCTATGACTTAATGAGCTCTGGCTCAACTACGACCTAAGTGTGTAACTATAAACAATTTGCTTAACATTCTGCCCCCTCACTTCTCCATTTGAAAATGCGGATAACAGTACCAGCCCTATATTCTTTAAAAGCTTTTAAATATCCCTAAAGAGGCAACAGTTGCAAAGGCATTAGGTTAAAGATTCAATGTAGGAGTTCAGTGTGGATGGCTTTTCATAAAATTAAACAATGATCTCAGTGTCCTTTCATTTATTAAGCTGGCAAAATTCCTTTTTTCAGCTTTTGTGCTTATACACGCTAGCAACCAGGCAAATATTCAATTTGCTATATCGTTATTGCTTCAAAAGTATTGGTTTTATGAAGTTTAATTAGCCAACCATTTCCAAACAGAACTGCCATTTCCTACACTTCAAATTTGCCTTCAAAGTCACAAACATTTTAAAGATAAAAATAGACATACTCAACAAATCCAACCTAATATTTATTTTTAAATATGAAATGGGTTTTCTTTAAGGCAATCACCCTTCCCCCCCACCCCCAATATGTTAATAGCAAGCCAGGCTTTTTGTTGGGGAAATTCTATTTGTCCTTTTCCCATTTCCTCCTTCAAGCTAAATTCTAGTTTACAGGGTCTCTCCTTTCAGACTTTAAAAAGAGACCCTGTACCTTTAATAACAGAGACCTGGTGAGAGGTTTCTTTCCAAACTTGTTCCCTGGCTTCCAAGTGACGAAACCAGCTGTAATTTGAGAGCAGAGAGATCCTCGGGATATATTTAGCCAAAGGAAAAGCTCCGCATTCCCACCCAGTCCAGGAGTCGAAATAATATCAGAGGGCAAGAGCCTTTCTGTGCAGCTACATGCTCCATCTCCCAGGAGCAAGGGGGAACTCTGAGATCGGGCAGCAGAGCCAGCGTCTTGCCAGAGCCCTGGAGGAGGGGTTCCCCCCTGCGCCCTGTGATCGGCTGGGAACGAGCCGGCCGAGTTCCAGCCGCAGAGGAGCGCAGGGTGCACCCGCGCTGCTGCGAGCCGTGCTGCCCGGGCGCTGGTGCGCACAGCCACATGAAGCCTGCTGGGGAGGGGCGGCCAGGGTGCAGCAAGCCGGCTGGGGCCCAGGCGGACGCCGACTCAAGGAGGCCTTGACTCCCAAGGGGTCCCCTTTACTTGTGCCTGGGCGAAGAGTCTTCTCCTGGGGTCCCTGGTCATCCTGAATATCCAGAATGGTGTTCCTCAAGTTCCTCTGGATGGGTTTCTTCTGCCACCTGTGCCAGGGCTACTTCGATGGCCCTCTCTACCCGGAGATGTCCAATGGGACTCTGCACCACTACTTCGTGCCCGATGGGGACTATGAGGAGAACGATGACCCCGAGAAGTGTCAGCTGCTCTTCAGGGTGAGTGACCACCGGCGCTGCTCCCCGGGGGAGGGGAGCCAGGCCAGCAGCCTGCTGAGCCTCACCCTGCGGGAGGAGTTCACCGTGCTGGGCCGCCAGGTAGAGGATGCTGGGCGCGTCCTGGAGGGCATCAGCAAGAGCATCTCCTATGACCTGGACGGGGAGGAGAGCTACGGCAAGTACCTGCGGCGGGAAAGCCACCAGATAGGGGACGCCTACTCCAACTCGGACAAATCCCTCACTGAGCTGGAAAGCAAGTTCAAGCAGGGCCAGGAGCAGGACAGCCGCCAGGAGAGCAGGCTCAACGAGGACTTCCTGGGGATGCTGGTCCACACCAGATCCCTGCTGAAGGAAACGCTGGACATCTCTGTGGGGCTCAGGGACAAATACGAGCTGCTGGCTCTCACCATTAGGAGCCACGGGACCCGGCTAGGACGGCTGAAAAACGATTATCTTAAAATATAGGTGGAAAGGCACAAATGCCAGGGAGAGGGAATCAGATCAGCCCTGTTGGGGAGGATGGGGGACAGAAGTCAGGGCTAATTTCACTTATACCTGTTATTTTTTACATCCAGATTTGCACTTTGAGAATGAAACTGAGGTCATTCTTTAAAAGAAAGAAAAAGTTGACAGTTGAGTGTTATGTTTTTTTAGATTTGTTTTTGTACATTATTTATGTGATTGTTTTTGATTTATCACCTGGAAAGAACATTTAAAGTTATGTCTCGTGCCTTTCCTATAGAGCTTTATAACTCTGCAGAGATATCTGTGTCGGTCACATCTAAAAAGACACAGTTTATGCAGTAGGGACCGGTTAAACTTCCCCATCCTGGAGATTATGTGAAAATACCCAAAGAGCATGATGCATTGCTCCTTTCCGCCTTCCGCATTCTCTCTTGGGCTCTGAAAGCTGTCAGAGTTGCCTGTTTTTCAAATGAGGTCCAGCGTGCTGCTACGCATGCCTGCCAGCCATGGAAGCTGCTTGTTTCTTCTTCTCTTTTTCTCTCTTATTTATTAACCAGGATCGGCAAGTCGTTTTTGTTTTTGTTTTTTGTAAGAGTATTGTCAAGAAACTCTCTGCAAGTCATCCTTTGCAAGGAAATTTCTGAGATGCCCCTGTGGGTGTGTGTAAGTTAATGTGGCTGCATTAAAGAAATCTGAGCTTTGAGGTGGTTGCACACTCGTGTCTATATGCTGATTTGCAATGTCTCTCTCTGTATGTCTATGCTTTGTCATCACTGCGCCAGTCAATTACAGAGAAGTAGATAGATTGTTTAAACACACCCCCAAATGCCTGTGATTTAGATTACCAATGTATTCTTTCTCATTTGGGGATTTTGCTTCTGTTTGCTTACTGGAAATTTGTACTTCAAGGAGGGGGGAATCCTAATTCTAATAAACCCTTAGCTAAGTTTTATTATTCAGCCAATAAATATGTTTTCATATAATACTGGCTCATTTTTTAATTGACATCTGTAACTTTTATATTTCAGAGAGGGGCCAGTGCAAAAGGAGAGAGAAGGATAGGGTTTAAGCCAGTTTACTTGGAGTATATGATAAAGGAGGCAGAGCTACACATATAGCAATCCTCCCCTCCCTGGCCACCCTTACCATCCTCACAAGAAAAAAAAAAAAAAGTCTAGCCTGTGCCAGAACTTTAAATTTGATCTCTGCTCATTTACTTAAAAACTCCAATTTTCTTCAATTTTTCCCATAGACTCAACTGGAAAAGTTTATGACAAGGCTCACACCTTATATGTCCTTATCATCCAGAGGGAGTGTTATATTCTGAGTTTATAGGAACTGCATTGGTGGTTAACAATTTGAATCGAGATCTGTGTTATTTAATTTATGGCTTAGAAAGGTGTAAATGTACCTTATTGCATATCTTTCCCTGGCCAATTCTCACCCTTACCTTAAATATGCTTTTCTTTCACATACACACACACACACACACACACACACACACACACACACAGGAAAATAAATAAATGTTCATATTCTTCTATGAAACAGAGAGCCATTTTTTCTCTCCCATATATGAGGAGAATAGTTTTCTACTGCTATGAGTGTCTAATATCCTTGTATTATAGTCATGGAAACTTAGGTCCAAGAAAGATAAGTGACTTACTATCAGATAGTTGTAACTGCCCCAGGCCTCTTAGATTTAAGTACAGGACTGTCCCACAATGCTCTTTTTTCAAGGATAGTGAGAGATGAGAGCGTGGCCTGAGACCTAAACTTTTGCTTAACTATCTTATTGCTTAATTTTTTAAAAAAGAAAGAACAGATGGGGCCGAGCCCGTGGTACACTCGGGAGAGTGTGGCGCTGGGAGCGCAGCAGCACTCCCGCCACGGGTTTGGATCCTATATAGGGATGACCGGTGCGCTCAGAGCGCTCACTGGCTGAGCGGTGCGGCCAGTCTCAAAAAGGAAAAAAAAAAAAAAAAAAACAGATGGAAGATGCTTAAAATCATTTATAATTTCTTTTCCTCACTCAGGAACCTGTGTTGAGCTGCCTTCTAGACTTGGGTGTGGGAAGAAGGTACATGATCACTTAAAGGGTTTCCTTCTTTACTGTATGAAGAAATTAAGGAAAAAATAATGTCAGGGATAGAGATAACATTTGTATTTAAACATTTGTAGTTGGAAGTCACAACCCTTCATGTCTCAAAATTTTCATATTCCTCACTTCAGAGTGCTCAGGGCTAATCCATAGACATATCAAATGTCATCCTCTTGATTTTCCCAACTGTAACAGGAGAATATTGGACATGTGATAGTGATGGAAAACTAGTTTCCTTGCATATGCTGATTTCAATCAATTGGTAATGGTCGCATATGGTACTATGTTAAGAAGGATTCAAAAGGCACAGAGATGTCTTCATGGGTGCAGGAAGGGGGGTGGTGACACATCTGCTACAAATTTGAATACCCTGAAATAGATGATGTATGAGGTTCTTTCCAGTGCCAGCATTTTGTGATTCCTACAAAACCAGGACGAAATTATCTGGCATTGAATCACACCATTCAAGGCTAGATGTACAGCCAGAATCCCACAGAGTTTTATGTAAACGGCCTCAGAGGGCAAATAGGAATTTCCAGGTGGGGAGAAGGGCTGTCTTAGCCAGCCAGCACAGGGCTGAGCCTCGCAGGGCTTTTCCAAACCCCCTGATGGTGGGGACCAGCCCACTCAGATCTTTGCTGCCTGCTTCCTCATTGTTCTCATTAGACTGTGTTACTCACACTGTGACAAATTCTCTTTTAAAGTAGTGGTTTTTTATTTCTTGGGCCATAGAATATTTTGAGAATCTGAAGAAAATGTCATACTTTCTTCCCTGATAAATTTGCTTACAAACTCACCCATACAAGTTAAAATATTAGTTATTTTTATAAGTAGCTTGTAGTTCTGGGATGTTACAAAATCTGGGGACTTCACCTGGGGACCAAAAGTTTTAAAAGTCTCTTAGGGTTTTACTGAAACAAGAGGCATTTGTTGTTGTTGTTGTTAGTAGTAGTAGTAGTAGCAGTTACAGTAACAACAAGTTAGCTAACCTATTTGAAAACTCAGTATTATTGGTAAGGCCCTGTGCTAAGAACTTTGCCTGAGTTATTTTTCTTAATTCTAACAATAACCTGTGTGAGGAAAGCATTTTATAAAAGGAATACATGTCAAGCACTTAGAACAATACCTGAAACAGAGTGAATCCTCCATAAATGTTAGTTGGCTTTTTCACTGTTTTTATTATTACCATTATTTCTATAACTGAGGCCCAGAAAGCCTAGGCACTTTTCTCAGAGTTAAAAATGGTACTCTTCACTATGCCCTCATTTTTACCTGATGATTATCTAGTGGAACATACAAGCAAATAAAAGAATAATGTGGAGAATAGGGGTTCACCAGGACTCCAGCCATGCACTACAAATGCTGTCCTCTACAGTTTGGATTCATGATACTGTCTGGCAGTCAGCAGCTGAGTGGCTTCCTGTTTTTAGAACTAGTCATTGATAATTTCTTTGTGAGATGCATTGTTCAGTACCACTAATTCTCACTCTCTCAATCTGACCATGTGAAAACTTCTGCATACCTATTTTGAAGCATTCTGCAGGTTATCTGTCCATCTGGAGTCTGTTGGTGAAAGAAAGACACCAAGCCACTTTAGCCTCTGCAACAACTACAACCAGGCCCATAGAAGTCATCACGAACTGTCAGAAGCTGGCAGGTGCATTGTGCGTGGCAGCACCAAGAGGCTGTCCAAAGGTTCACATACTTTTCATTGCCTTTACAACTCGGCTAAGAAATGGTCTCAAAACTTTCTGAGGAGAGGCTTGAAACTTAGACTATAAACTAGTTTAGTAAGTTATAAAAATGTCCTTCAAAACCGCTGATGATATGAAATCACCCTAAGGGGCAGTATGGTCAGGTCTCCTTGAGGCATTTTTCCAGGATTATTAAAACTAATAATTAATCATTTTCCCATGATTATTAAAATGTTTTGATACATATTATTATTTGGGTAGAAAATAGAAATGCTAAATATGGTTTACAAATGTTTTAATATAAAAAGGAAAAAAATTGTAGACATAAATAGAATACAGAAATGTGTAAAAATAATTCACCATTAGAGAGAATGGTATTCTATAAATCATCTTAGTAATTTTGGAATTGGAGCAATCCTTAGGAATACTATTTCTAAAATCAGGATCCCAATGGATATGTCATTCATCAAATATTTTTAATGTGCCACCATATGAGGTACCCAGGATAGACATAGTATGTAAATGTGTGAAGAAAGTGCCACCTAAAGAAAGAATTAGAGTGCAGCAACGTGAGGGGTTGGAGCAGGTACATGGTTCTATGGAAGCTCAATAACAGTCTAAATCAGAATTATCTGGAAAATGTAAAGCTGTGTGTGTTAGTCTGTTGTGCCGCTGTAACAGAATACCTGAGACTGGGTTATTTCTTTTTTTGTCTTTTTTCCGTGTCCAGCAACGGATCGCAACCCTCAGTGTTGCCCCCGTACCGGACCAGGGACCGGCAACGGGATCGCAACCCTCGGTGCTGCTCCCGTGCCTCGCTCAGCCAGTGAGTGGGAACCGGTCTGTATGTGGGATCCGAACCCTCGGGCGGGAGCGCCGCCGCGCTTCCCAAGCAGCGCACTATCCAGTGCGCCACCGGGCTGGCCCGAGACTGGGTAATTTCTAATAAACAAAAATTTATTGGTTCACAGTTCTTGAGGCTGGAAAGTCCAAGATCAAGGTGCTGACGTGTGGTGAGGGTCTTCTTGCTGTTTCATCACAGTTAGAAGGCAAGAGGGTGAGAGAGAGCAAGAGGGGGCAGAAATCGCCCTTATATAATGCCACCAGGTACCAATCACACCCACAAGAGTGCAGCCCTCATGGCCTAATCACCTCCAAAGGGCATTACTTATTAATACTGTTACAATGGCAATTAAATTTCAACATGAGTTTCAGAGGGGACAAATAAACCATAGCACAAGGTAAATAAAATAAGGATTTGGCATAATCACATATTCAAGAGATGTAGGGGTTTTATTGTCACTGTTAATGTTGCTGTTATTTTGCCTTTTTAATAGAATTTTGTTTCTGATTACAAAAGCTACTTCTGCTGAATACTAATGACATAGAAAGCACAGTAAGCACAAGGAAGACAAAATTATTTATATTGTTAAACTGTTTCTGCCATATACCGACTACTTGCATTTTGGCATACATTCTTTCAGTACTTTTCATGCATATCTATGTATACATTTTTTTCTTTGGAAAAAATGAAATGGTAATGAACACACTGTTTTGTCATCGATGTCTATTTTACTTGTTAAATATGTTTAACTGCATGAAACTTTAAAAAATTCTTAGATCTACCACTAATGCTTTAGGAGGCAGAAGTTTTGGATTCTATATCTTGCCACACAGTATATAAGCCTTGCAACTTTGAATGAGTCCCTTAAATGTTTTGTAAGTAAGTCATTTGTTTGCAAAAGGGAGATAATAATAGCCAGTATTTATTGAACGGGCACTGCTCAAAATGTTTTCCATATATTATCTTATATAATTTTCTCAAAATTATATTTTAGGTAGGTATTATATTTTTAAAATTTTTCAGATGAGGAAACTGAGATAGAAAGAGGTTAAGTGACTTGCCTAAGTTTTGAAACTAGAAAAGAGTGGAGTCAACATCCAAACACAGGTAGTCTGACCTAAACTTCTCTAACCACTAAATGGTACTTTGCTAAAGGCAAGAGATTGGACACACGATTTGTTAATTTCCATTCTATTCTAGGATCTATAATAAATGGCCTGTGAAATGAATATTTTGCTTATATTATTTCTTTAACATAAAAAAATATCTTTCTCTCAAAGAAATTTTTTTTTTCTCTGCTTGATTTTATGTTGAGCAAAATATAAATTCCTTACACCTGCATGT